TCCATTCATTCATCCACCCACTAACCCACTCACCTACTCATTCATTACTCATCCATCCATCCATCCATCATCCATCCATCCATCAAACCTGCCACCCATCTATCTATCCAACCACCTGTTCGTTCATCCACGAGGTGCTGCCAGGTTGGCCGGCAGATTCCAGCGAGAACTTTTCATTTAACCAGAGGCAAGCATGCGTCGCCTCTGAGGACTGAGGATGCTGGGGTGTCTACTGAAAGACATTGTAACCCCAAGGACTGCACAAACGCCTGGCCAGGCCCACCCAGGATCCCACAGACACAGGACGCCGGGGGCGGGGCCGCCTGGGAGGGTGTAGGAGACACTTACGGTCGAGTCCGTTCAAGTAGCGCATGCGGATCTCACAGTGGCCCCAGACGGCGCTCACGACAGGATACAGTTTTTTGCCTTTGAGTCCCCGAAAAGCCACGCCCATGTACTGTCCGTCCACAATGAAGCTCAGGGTCCCGTCGTCCATGTCCAGGGCCACCAGGAAAGAGTCGGGGACAATGAACGTCTCGTCCGGCTCCAGAAAGGCGGGGTAAGTCTTGCTGGGCTGGTTTTTGCCGTCGTGGTAGAGCCGGTTGCGCCCCAAGTCCCAGCCCCAGGACTCGTGGTTGTTCCCCACGAGGGTCGTGTAGCCGACAGAGTGCAGGGGGGCGTCGGCCGTCGCCACCCCCACCACGGCCTGTGTGCCCCGCTGCCGCATCTGCCACACGTGCAGCCCCCGCGTGTACCCGACCTTGCCCCTGATGGCGTCCGTGCTCTGGGCCACCGGATGCCGGTGGAAGATCAGCTTGTCGTCCTCCTTGACGAAGACGTTGAGGGAGCGGTCGTTGTTGTTCCACGAGTGGAGGAGCTGGACCTCGTAGGACACGGGCGGCATGTCCAGCAGCAGCTCCAGGCGGGTGGGCTTGCAGTAGTCCAGGCCCTGGAGCTCCTGCTTCAGGGGCCGGTACGTGGGGTCCCTCATGTCCACCGTCTTGATCCCTCCGGTGACCTTCTGACCCATGGTCGCCTCCTGCTTCACGGCGTCCCCGACGCCCTCGGCAAACGCATCAACGGCCGGGCCTCCTCTCCCGAGGCTGCGAGGCGGCCTCTGCACACGGGGGCGAGATCCGTGCTGCCTGCCGGGTGGAAAGAGAAACAGGACCGGTGAGCAGGGTGTGGGCAGGGGAGGAGGTCCGCCAGGAAGGCCAGGGCCAGAGCGACGGGCTGGCCACCAACGCGTTCCCCGCGGCCTGGCTCTGGGCGCCCATCACACCCGACACGGGCAGGCCGGGGCCTTGGCACAGAGGGAACCCCGCCCTGTCCCCCAGCTGAGCTGTCCTAAGAGAGAGGCCCCCCGCCTGGCAGTCGCCGGGAGAGAAGGCTCCGGAACGGCGGCGAGATGCTCTGCTGTGTCGGGTGCACCATGTACCTGATTGTGATTTCTCGGGGCAGAAGGCCCGGTTGGCACAGATCCTGGAATCAGCCCCTGCGGTTGGCATCTTTCCTGGTGCCAGCAAGGGGGCGCTTACTCCCATGTCTGCTGCTTCAGGAGGCAAAGCCCTGAGACGCCACCTCCCAGCCGCTCTCTCCCAGCACAGCCGCCTCCCACAGGCCTCGGGCTCACGCCAGGGAGGGGGCCGGGGCTACGCAGCAACGTAACTCCTGGTCGGCGAGGGCGCTCAGCCCGGGGAGCTCTGCTCACGGGCCCTGAGCCTGCAGCAGCCCCCCAGCAGGTCCCATATCCGCGTGGTGCCTGGACTGGGGTGCCAACGATGCTCTCTGGAGGCCCCTGAGGCAGCCCCTGCCAGGTGGGCATGAGAGCCTCACCCGCCGCCCAGCGCTCTGGGCCAGCACTTGGATGACCACCACCTTTCCTTCAACCAGAAGCCAGCATTTGGCTCCTCGGGCTCCAGCAGACCACTGGGAGGAAGTCCGACTCCAAGACCCCTCACTCCTGCTCTGGCTGCTCCAGCCGTCGGCTCCTTTAAGGGAGGGCAGATGGTTCTGGGAGGAGAGACCTCACTGCCTCTGCGCCACCCCCTCCATCAGGGGGTTCAGCGGGAGGAGGGGCTGACACGTGGGGCCAGGGGACTCAACAACCTGCCGTCCCATCCCCCGTGCCTTCCCCCATGTCAACCTTGAAGAAGGGATAGTCACAGGGACTGGGCTCCTGAGCCTCCCTCTGGGCCTGCGGGGGGCCGGGTGGGGGACTCTTGGCTGCCCGGTGTGGGGTGGGCTCCCAGGACGAGGGAGCAGGCAGGCTCCTGGCTCTGTGAACCTCACTCCACGAGTCTGCAGAGGGGCCGGGCCAGAGGCCCTGGGCGCCTGGCTGCTGGGACCAGGGTCCCTCAGTCACTCGCTCTGAGCAGCATCGAGTGCCTGAGACGAAGAGAACACTGGGGAGCCTGGAGGGGGCTGCGGGGGAGGGGGGTGCTGTGGGAGAGGATGGCGGTGGGGAGAAGTCCTTCCAGCACATTCATTTAAAACACTTGGAGAGATAGGGATGGAGAAGGATGAAGGACCACAACAGGGAGGATGAGAGGTGGGGGGTGAGAAAGGGAGAGAAGGAGGGAGGGAAGGAAGGAGAGAGGAAGGGAGCCCTCAGGCCAGTGCCCCTGGGCCTGCTCACACCTCTAACTGCAGGGACCCGCTCTTTTTGTAACGTCTGGAGAGTACACGCCAGGCTTTGCGGACCGGGCTTTGCGGACCGGCAGTCCCCATGCCAGCGCCGCTCTGCCTGCAGCACCAAGGCCGCCACGTAAGCAAAGGAGCACGGCTGGGTTCCCATAAAACTTTATTTACAAGAACGGGCGGTGCGTGGCCGGCCAAGCCCGAGCTAGACTAAGGGCCCTGCCCATCGTCTCCCTGCCAAGGCCGCAGCAGGAAAGCAGGCCAGTCCAGCCTCAGGCCCGGTGACCAGAGAGACAGCAGAACCCCACGGGGACGGCCATCTGTCCGTCCAGGTCAGCCCCCCAGCTCCTCCTGCTCTGAGGGCCCACCGCCTTAGAGGCCGGGTGCTAGGCAAGTCCTCTGACTGCCTCGGTGCTAAGCTCCTGCCCCCTGGGCCCCGCGATTAGGAGCCATCCGGGAGGGAGGCCCTGCCCGCCCGGACCTCCTGACCCTGAGCCAGGAATCTCTGGGAGGAAGCGGCGGGAGGCAGATGAAGGTGCTTACAGCATCCAGGGTGATTCCCGTAGAGGGTGCCCCAGGGCAGAGCCAGGGGATACGGGCCACCCACGCTGCTGCTTCCCGCCACCTGAATCACCTCCCAGGTGGTCCGTCGCTGCGGCAACCCCAGGGCCATTCTTCCTCACTGTCACCTGCCGGCCTCTACCCTGTGTCCAGGCCACGGTTAAAGCCAACACCTCCTTCTCACCGTCTTCCCGTTGTCCACACCCAGCCGCATCCTGGCAGGGCCCCTGGAGCCATCAGCTGCCCGCCTCTTTCCGTGGGTCTCAACGCGACCTGCCCTCTGCATGTCCCCCAGGCGCTCCGCTAGCCCCCTTCCTGGGGACGGCCGCGGGCAGGATGCTTCCGTCCCCCGACTCCTCTCTGCCGGCGCTGCTCTGGGGCCTCCAACCCTTGGGGAAGCTCACGCACCCCACAGCGGCTGGGCCACTGGCTAGGACTCACCCTTAGCTCTTCTGAGCTTCTGTTTGCTCCTCTGAAAGGTGGGTGTCCCACACTCACCCGGACTCCATGGAGTCAGTGTCCGGGGAGGACTGGGGACACGGCCATGTCACTTTCCCCCTAAACCGTGCTCCGTGCACTGAACAGAGATCGCCGTTACCCATCGTCTTGGTCACTGCACCTGGTCCTGCAGGTGGACGCTGCTTTGGGCTGGGACCCAGGTGCTTAGATGCGGAGCTAGAACAGATCACGTTGAGGGTCCCTTCAGAGCCAGGGGTTGTTCTGCGAGGAGCCATTGAGAGACTGGTTTGGTCTGTAACGTGCCTGTTAACACTGACCCACGGGCGTCCCAGAGGGCACCACCCCAGCTCCGGACCAGCCTCCTCTGCCATCATGAGACACATGCAGGTGCCCAGCCCCACAGGGCCTAGTGCTGCTACAGGACTGCCAGGGCCTGCGATGGCTCTTCACCAGGTGGGAGGGCACAGCCCTTGTCCCCGCCCAGAAGCAACAACGTCACAGAGGGTGTGTCCGAATATGGCCCTGTGAGGCTGGGACAGGAGGGGTGGGGACAGAGCTGGCCGTGCTGCTGCCCTCACTACCCACGCATCATCACACACAGCCATGCACGCACACACGGTACAAACACACATGAATGCACACACATGGGTACACACACACCTGAGCACTCACACACATGGGTGCTCACACACGGTGCACACACACAGGTGCTCACACATAGGCACATACACATGGGCGTGCACACGCGCGGGCGCACACACAGGTGCACACACAGGTACACACACGGGTGCAGAAACACACATGGGTGCACGCGCACACACATGCGTGCACACGCACACACACACACATGCACACGCATACATGAGAAGCGTGGCAGGCCTTCCACGTGTTGCATTTACCTACAATAGAGTGAACGCGATCAAAAGTCCTGGGAGGGAATGGGGTGTCCGCTCTGGGTCCACTAAGCGCTATGGTTTCCCCTCTGAGAACCCCCACCCCACTGATGTCACACACATCATCCACCTGAGTCAAAAGCCACTTCATGGTTCACTGCGAAAGGGGGTGCCTCTCAGGCAAAGCCTCCCCCCGCCCCATCCCTGCACCCACCAGAGCCACCTGTCCATCATGTATTCCAGACGGACCCAGGAGCGCCCCAAAGCCTCCTCCCTCCTCCCAGTGCCGACTCCCAGCGTGGGCTCTGTCTGGGGCCCGGGATCAGCGCTCTCATCTCAAAGGCCTGCTTCGAGGGGGTTTGCGGGGGCCACCGCTCCCCATAGAAGGGAAGAGCAGCACCCACAAACCCCTTCCTTCTAGTCTCTCCAGCGGGACCCTCTGTGCCCTCAGGTGGAGGGGCAGCAGGTGCGGACTTAAAGGCGCAAGAAAGGAAGCCCAGAACCGGATGCTGATCCCCGACGGCGAGGAGAGTCAGAGGCGTCCCAAACTCACTGTGGGGGGCTGAGACCTGGTGTGGGGGGCCGGGCTTTAATGATCTGAGGCAGAGAGTCGCTACGGACACAAGGGGTGGAGACACCTACTGGACACACCCACTGCTTTCACTACACACGTCGCGGAGAGAAGGGATGCTGGCTGAGGACAGCGAGGGGACGGGATGTGGGACCCACGGGGTTAAGAAAGGTCGAGGGACCCCAGAGGATGTGGGGATGCCTCTCAGGGACAGGGGTGGGCGTGTCCCAGACAGAGACAGACCCCCAAATCGGGACATGCTTCTCGGCCTGCAGGTGCCATCCAGGCGTAACACATGCAGCGACCTCCTGCCAACCGCTCTGCCAGGGTCTGGGAAACCCTAGAACCCCGCGCAGGGGCACGTGGGCAAAGACACGCACCAACCCGCAAGACCCGTTCCACGAGCCCCGCAGCCGCGCACAGAGGAGGAGGCAGCCCCTCCCATGTGCTGACTTCACATACAGTGTAACGTGATGCTCGCGTTTTGAAAAGCAACTTGGAGAGCAGGATGCAGAGCGTGATCCCATCTCTGTATGAACAGAATTAAGAAGATTCTCTCGCCTTAGCTGGTGTGGCTCAGTGGATAGAGCATCAGCCTTTGGACTGAAAGGTCCCAGGTTCGATTCTGGTCAAGGCCACATGCCCGGGTTGCAGGCTCGATCCCCAGTGGGGGGCATGCAGGAGGCAGCTGATCAATGATTCTCTCTCATCCTTGATGTTTCTCTTTCTCTCTCCCTTTCCATTCTTCTTTGAAATCAATAAATATAAATATATATATATATTTTAAAAAAGAAAATTCTCTCTGTGCCTGTATCTGTTTGTAGGTGGAGGGAGGGAGGGGTTTAGAAGCACAAACACCAGAGAGTT